AGAGAGAGAGAGAGAGAGAGAGAGAGAGAGAGGTAAAGAGAAAACATGCACCTTTCAGGCACTCACTCGCACTAATGAGGGTTCTTTCTTATTGGTTTAGGCACTTTTGACTGGACTCACGGTGACTGGTCAATCAAACACATAATGCAGAGAGACAGCCGTGCTGAGTTACTGAGAAGGAATAGGGCAAGAGCAGCTAAGCAACGAGCAACGACCTGCTTCGAAGGATAATCATCGTCGGAGGCATCAAATTTCAAGCACTCCCTTACTCCCTGCTTTCCAACACCTTCGAGGCAACAAGACATAACCAGCTGACGCTGATAATGTGCCAAAAAAAAGAAAGAGAAGCAACATTGTTGATATTTAGTGGCCGACACCACGAGCGCACCGAAGTAGGTACTGCCGAGGAAATTCAGTGAAAAGAAAGAAAAGAAAGAGGCACTACCTTCTCCTGCGCTCGCTTATCATCGGTGCAAGTGCGATGGCCCATTGTATTGGCATCCTTTGCCGGCGTGCGTCACAACAGACACAAACTGCTAACCAAATTAAAATTAGCAACATCGGCAACCAAAAAAATAGCAAAAAAGTGTGTGTGTGTTTGTGCCCATCAATCAAAAGTATGTGAATGACTCAAGTAGAAGGAAAAGTTACCTGCTAATTACCTGCTTTCGTTTCTATATTTAGGATTATGGCCAGTTTCAAGTTAAATCGGTGCTACCAAACAAAACCAGTGGAGTCCCGTTTTCGGTAGTGATGGTGGTGCCGATGGTGGTCACTGAGGGTGATTAAGAGATGAGAGGACACCTTTAGTATGCACTGACACACTATAGAAAGTCCACTGCACTGTCTCCGCTTGTCTGTGCGACGCTCCTCAACACAGCTACCCCTTTACCCCCTCAATCACCCCTCATTTACCCCCTTCTTTGCCCCCCCCTCTTCGTCGCAATTAGCTTTTACGACGCATCAATTAACATCATCTGCGTGTACCTGGTTTCCGAGAATCCTATCTTCCCTGCTTCACCCGAAGGTGGCAATGATGTAATCGGCCATCGTTGATCTCCCCTTTTCCACCACCACCACCGTTTGCCGCCGTCATCTTCAGCGCACACCAGGAAGCAGGCCCTTTGTAAACAGATTGTGTCCTCCTTCGACTACAAAACACGGCAAAACTTGTGCAGCATCAGGGGTAGCAGCAGTAGCAACATAGTCAGCTACACAACAACAACAACAACAGCATCAACAACACCACTACTAACATCATCATCATCATCATCAACAACAACAACAACAACGACCAACTGTTTTGGCAATCAAAAGAGATGATAAGGGGATGCGGCGACAGCTGAAGCCACGCGACGGCAGACAACTGACAAGCGGCTACCGACTGACAAAACACACAGAGACAGGCAGCAACAAAGACCGCCAAATTCTAGTGAATTTTCCTCCCTTCAAGTTAGGAGATCTGCAGCGGTTAATTCATCAGATAAGGAATCACTGCACCCAAAAGGTCGCTGGTCGCTGGCTGCTCAGGCTGGTGGTTATCACCAGGCAGTGATGTTCAGCATACTAAACTTCACCGTTTGCTATCACCACAGCTGCTGCTTATCAATGGGCGAACATTTGTACACACTCTTTGTTTGCACCAATCAGCTCAGCAGTGCATCAGTACTGCTGTTGCCGAGTGTGGTCAAGAGCATGTTCCCAGCTGGAGTTTGACCAAAAAACTAGAAAGCCAGAGAGAAGAAGAAAGTCAATGGAGCACTCACGTAGGCCACCAGTTAGACACTGACTTGACCTGGTGCACGCACTATCATTTGGACAGAGGTCAGGACTGCCAAGTGCAGCCAAAGCATAAAGTACATGTCGTAGAGAGGGCAAATTTTGTTTTATTAAGATTAAAAATGAGAACGAAATATGTACCGGGAGATAAAGATAAAGAGAAGGTGAGAGGTTTTCTTTCCTAGCAACTACAGTTTGATCATCGTTTTTCTTTGTGCTCTTTCTTTCCCTTCTTGGCGACCTTTCGCACCTTCTTTTCACTTTGGCCTTTAGTGGTCGAACTTTTGGATTTCTTCTTTTTTTGCTTCTTCTCCTTAGCCAGTCCTTCCTGCTGGCCACTCTTGATCGCCTTCTTCCGCTCTTTCTTGATTTTCGCTTTCAGCTTCTTTATCTGAACATGTTGCTCCAGTTTACGCTTAGCCACTTTAGCCCTCTCATCAAAGGTGGCCAGAGCTTCAAGGGCGCTGGCGGTTCGGATGGTCGGCGTAGAGCTCGGCACTGCTGCAGACACGCTGGATACTGACTCCGGATTCAGTGGCAGGGCGCGAGGAGTCAGTCGAGGGTTGATAAGACGGCCAAGAAGGTTTCCCATTTTGTCTATAGTTGTTGATGTCGCTGCTGTGTGAACTGTTTGGTAGGGCACTGTTTGACATTTAGCGAACTGGCTGGTACACAATGAGTGAACAACACAAAACACCAGTGACAAGCCCGGCCCCTAGGGTGACCACAGCGGGAAAGCCACCCGCTTCTCTGCAACGGCTTCTCTATTTCTCTCTTCTGACCTTTGACCTTTTCTCAGCAGCGCTTCGCCTTTGCCTTCTCCGCTTCCCCATCGTCCCTTTCCACAGCTAGGTACACTGTTGGGTCTCGATCGTCAACAATGCCCAGTTGTCGTTGCCGCCGAACTGAACTTGGAATGCGAAAGTGTACAGTACGGATGTGCTGTTTAGAAGAGAAAAATGGTATTGAATTTTAGGTTAACAGTACAAAATTAATTTTTTCTATATCAAAAGCAAGTTTCTAGTGCCCAAAATTTCTGTCATTTGTGTTTGAAGCAGCAGAAGGTGACTGAGGCTTACCTTGAGAACGTCAGATCTTTGAGGGGCATCATAGGAGCAGGGCACACCACCTTCCGCCCAGCGACACTTGAAAGGGCGAATGCCGGCGTGGGTGTTCTCGTGAACACGTAGCATGAAATTGTTGTGAAATGACCGGTTACAAGATGGTCTAGTGCAGTGGTATCGCTTGAAGTGCATGTTCTTCTGGTGCTGGCTAAGCTTGCTGCCGCTGGAGAAGACTTTGCTGCAGTCAGCCACTGGACAGGCGAAGGTGTTGCGGGGCACTTCGCTGTCTCTGCTGCCACCATTTTCACCATCGCTTTCCTCTTCCTCTTCATCCCCATTCTCCTCATCTGCGTCTCCTAGAAACTCAGCGTCAATCACCGACTTGGCCGCGAGAAAAATGCCTCGAAAGGCGCTCGAATCATTGCTGCAAAGTTCAGACTCATATTTAGATGGGCATTTCCTCTGTCGTTTCGATTTAGACTGCAGTGATGGCTGATTAAAGTCCACCTGGAGCATGTTGGAGAGAATCTGAAGGCTGTGGCTGTCATCGTCAAACGGGCAACTACTGCTTTTGTGTTTGCCATTGTCGCAACCGTTATTCGGATTAGGCAGCATGTGCTTATCAGCTTTTGTAGTTGCTTCTGCTGGTTGAAATTGCTGTTTATTCTTTTCCAAGGGTCGTTTGCGGTCACTGGAGGGCAATGCTGAGGTCGAAGCATGCCCGTTACCATTGGGCTCTATAAACTCCTCCACAAAAGCGGCAAAAAAGTCATCCACCTGCCGGCAAATGGACTGTTTTAGATCTTCTTTTGCAATTTCGAACCGTTTCAGAAAAGCTATTTTGGAGTTCATTGTAATTTAGGAGTTTATCGATGTACGTTGTGGTGGAAGATAGATTCAACGTGGCAAAACACTCAGAAAGCTGCTCTTTCTCTTTCTCTCGTTGTGTATCTCTCTCTCTCTCTCTTTCTCTCGCTCGCTCTTTCTCTCTCTCTCTCTCTCTCTCTCTCTCTCTCTCTCTCTCTCT